ATATTTTTTGACAAAATATTTTATGCCAAATAATTATAATATTAATCATAATTATTTATAGTTAAAGGATTTGTTAAAATATTTGAATAAACATTTGAAATCAATTCAAGTATATCAACTAACTTGTAAATAATATTATAATAATCTATATTTCTATAATATGACTTTACCAAAAGGCTTATCAAATTCGATATATAGTTTGGAAGAAATTTTGAAATGTAAACAAGAAAAAGAGAAGAATGATTTGGAATAGAGGACAATTTAAGGCCCAACAAAAAAATCCAAAAATAAAAATAACCTCTTCTCAAAAGAGATCTGTCTGATTGAGATAGTCTTCTTGCTTCATTTGAACCTTAGAAGAAATTCTTTTTTTCACCACTTGCAGTATCAGACAGGTCAATCCAACTAGTTTTTCATTTAAGTAAGCACTGAATTGGAATATCTCAAGGAAAGCATTTAGACTTTAGCTTTTTTCCATTAAAGCTTTGTCACCACTTGAGAAACTTAGATAAGAGATGGGAGTTTGCAATCCACATTACCCATCACTTGATCTTTTGGTGTCATAGAAGTTTTCATTGAGGGATTTGAGCTTTTTGGGGGCAACTGTTTTCAGAACTTTCTTTCTGATCACCAATGACATCATCAGAATATGTAATTGTAACCAATAGAAACTTGTTTATATTCCAAAAACTAATGTGTTTTGTGTCAGCCAATCACCTTTGGTGAGGATTTGTGTTACCAAAAATTCAGGGTCAAACTGAAGTAGGCAAAATTCCCCAGAAAACCATGAAAGTAATAGCTTTAAGAGGCCCAACAGTGACTGGAAGGGAAAAAATAAGTCCTTCTGTTATCAAAAACCTCTATATACCTCTTGCTTCAAAAATTAAAAAGACCTTCCGGTACTTCATAATCAGTTTTTCTTCCTTTGGAAACTTTCTTACCATTGGTATTAAAGGTGTTATTTGATTTTTCTTGGTCACTTGAAGTCAAGTTTTTGAGTGAAGAGGTTTGTAAACAAAAGGGAAAGGATAGAGATGACTCTTGAAGTCATACTTCAAGTTGTTTTAAGGAAAGTATTAAGACTTTTATTAGCAAAGAAGTATGAAAACTTCTTGCGAATATCTTTTTTGTGTGTGATCAGAGAATCAGCGGAAGAGTTTTTTTCCATAATTATAATAATTCTTGAAATTATATTTCAAGTTGTTTTAAGAAAAGTATTAAGACTTTATTAGCAAATAAGTAAAAAAACTTCTTGTAAACATCTTTTTTGTATATAATCAAAGAATCAATAAAAAATTTTTTTTCTTTTTGCAATAATAAGATAAGAACATTTTATATAAGAATAAATTAAAATTTTTAATAATAATTATTTTTAATCCACACTGTATATTTAATACTATAAAGTACATAGTACTACAAGCATATAAAAGTAAAATGACATTTGTTATTTTATTATTATTATTATTTTGATGAAAGAGATTAGATGAATGTATGTTTACAAATTCATTATCCTAATGAAAGCTTGTTCGTTGTTAATAGACATCGCACAAAAACAAAAAGATCAAGATTTTGCATTTTGCAATCAAGAATGTTGACGGAATTCGAACAATAAAGATTAAAGTTTGTGTGTCGTCACGGACGTGCGAAAAGGATTTTACATGTTTATACTTTTTCCAGATTATCAAATTAATTGTTTTTTTTTTCGATTTTGATTTTTTTTTTTTTACTTGGTGCGTATAAATTTATTGTATGCATTGAAGATCAAAATACCCCATGACAAGTAAATATTTAGAATTGATATATATATATATAGTATATGCGATGAAACTTAATATATCTTTGACAATGTTTTTGCTTTTTCGGAGTTCTTGAGTCAAACCTCATTACGATAGGCGCAGTCGGTCAGCATGACAAAATTGGCTTTTGATTTATGATTTATGTGTGAGCATACCTGATTACGTACAGCTCGTATAAAGGGTCTTGTCATTGTGTGAAATTTAATGATTGGATCACATTTACGCAAATTCGGAAAAACGAGATAAGCGACAGGAAAGGGGCGTTTGTCATCACAAGTGTTATATGATAATAATAGATATCGGTCTTCCTTTACCGTTGTTATTTTTCTTTAATTAAAAAAAAAAAAAGTAAGTTAGGTCCATATTCTCTTAAATTCATTTATACATTCATCCGGGTTCTGTTCCATTCTCTTATTGAAAAGAAAATCTTTTAAGAAATTCCAAGTAGTTAGAAATTCAAGTATCATACTTCGCAATGATTATTTTATATCTGTCAGCATTAAATTAGAGTAGAGAATTTAATGCGCGTAGGGAAACTTCCTTTTTGTCAATTTACACGTGGAACGATTGTGGCTCCAAGTTCAGCGGTGGCGCAAGTTTGATACTTATCAAATATATACAATATATTCATATATTTATAATTTTTTTTTTTGTTTGCGATTCAAGTTTTTTTTTTATCACTCTGTCCCTAATCACCTCCACCTTTCTCACCAGTCGGAAAAAAAAAAAAAAATCCTTGTTTATTCTACTTCTAGTTTTTCTTCCGTTCCCACCAAAAAAAAAAAATCCTTTACAAATATTCAAGCTGGATCTCCCACGTTTTAGATATCTTGTCGATTCTTTGACATCTCGTAGATATCCGGGGCGTGAAAATTCAACATTTCGAGATTTGACGTTTTCAGAGCGCAACATATCGTCATTCGAATTCGAGGAACAAAATGGTAGCGATGATGAACACTACATTTATCGTGCGAAATACTATCAAAATACCAACAAACAATTTCAGGGTGAATCCATATTTATCCCTCGTTAAGAACGGTGGTTGCATTTCTCCGACAATACATAGTAAAAAAATTTCCCTATAGGCACTTAATTCAATGTACATCCTTAAGATCATGAGACCAAGAACTAACATCCTTTTCACATCATTCTTCTAATTTCCAAGATCCCTTTATCTTTGATTACAATTGTAAGGTAAAAAAAAAAATTATGTAAATATGACCAATTAATTTTTTTTTTTTAAAAAAAAAAAAAAATTTATGATCTTTTCACCTTCCCCGCTCATTCTTGCCAATAGGTCTCGATCCCAGGATGGACGATCGTGGATGGTATGCTTGGGTTTGACAAACATGCCTCATATCAAATAGTATGCCGGGTAAGTCCATTGTTTAAGAAATGACGCCACTACCATTGAAAATTTTAACACCGAATTATCATTCATCACACACAGTATTGGCTAAACGGGGAAGAAGTTAACAAACTGATAGTTAACAAGAGATACACCGACTTCTATCAATTTCACCAAAGACTTGTGCGAAAATACGGAGAATCAGCCGTCCCTAAGTTAACTCCCAAGCAACGACAAGGTATTAAAAGAAGAAATTAAGAAATCTTGTCTTCACCAATTGACCCGAGTCGATACATGTTTAATAGGGAGATTCGACCCGAAATTTATCGAGAACCGACGCATTCGACTTGAATTTTATCTTCGGAATCTTGCGATAATATGTCGGGAAGAATTGATCGAGTTCTTGGGTGGTTACAAAAAGGTAGATGATTGAAAAATAATGAATCAACATATTTTTAAAGCATCGCACAGTCTTAATAATTTATAGTTGTAAATGTGAAGGGCACGAAGGTGATAACCGATGGTGGTCCACGAGGTGCCTCGCAATCCTCAAGAAACGTCAAAATTAAGAACAATCTGCCAGCGCGTAGCTGCCTAGTATTAGACAACACTCGATGTCGAATAAATAACAGAGTTCACTTTGCCGATTGGGTATTGAATAACGAAAAGGCATCGAGAAACCCGAAAAATCGAGAACATGTATCGCAGAACAAGAACGTGACCTATCATATGTAACTTTTGGACGACAATAAGAGGTAAAATAGATAACTTCTCAGCGGCGACCATCTTTTAGATCCGGATTGTGTGCGCTACGACTTGACACAAATCGATTATAATCTATTTCGTTGTTTCAAAGTCTTGTCTTTATTTTTCTACGCTTGCGTTTACTTGTGAATATCGAAAAAAAATTTTCTTTTTCATTCTATTTTTGTAATAGATGTAGTTTTAATGTGAATTTTTATGCAAATGAAAAATAGATCTAACTTTTGTACGGGAGACAGTTATGGTAATCGGAGGAAACGGTAAATGAGGTGTCTGGCGGGTTCTGGGACATGGGTAGAGATAAATGCACATCCACCAAATCATCATTGGGACCTGTAGAGTTCGGGAACTAAAGAAAAAGTGACCGGTTGTAGCCCACGTCTTTGTACTAAATAAATTCATGTCTTTAAATAAAATGTAAAGTATAAACAAATATGTTTATTTGGTCGATGCCGATGGAATCCTTACGAAATAACAGCCGACTGTTTCGATCACAAAAACCGTGGCAAGGAATAACACGAAAAATTCCGTGTATACATTGCTACAAATTAAAAAGTATTTGCATCAACATGTTCCGCGTTCACCGATTCCAAGTTCATGATATTATTATGTCTGACCGCCGCATTGAGACCTGCATAAAAATGTGAAGTCCAGCCATGACAACGGGATATTTAATAACGTCGTGATGCCACTATTTCTCAATGTTTTTTTCATCACGCTCAGTATTCTTCCCCTTCGCGCCTAAATTGACTTATCTAGGTGTTCCATAAAAAATCATTCTCGTGCACATGAATAGAACACATCATCGGAGACTTTGTGTGCTCAATTCTAATTACCTATAAGGTTTTATTATTATTTTTTTTTTTAAAAGAGAATGATCAGACGGGTGAATTCGGGCTACCGCTCCTTAAATGTATATCTGATGGCTGTTTGTTAATGTGAAAATGAGAGAAAATGAGGGCATCGCCCAATTGATTAAGGCGTCAGGGAAATTTTCAATCGTGAATCTACCGTTCTCCGATCGACCAAGCATTACAAAATTTTAATCTAAATGTTATTTTAATCCGAGTTTTGCGTTAAAATGTTTTATGAATTCAATTCTCTCGACTACTACTATACTGATAATCATACAACCTAAGCAAATTCCTTTCCAACATGGCGATGGTGACCTTGCCCACCGTCGGGACATAGATGCTGGCTTTTTCTTTAACCTCATTCTCGAAATTTTTATACGTCGAAAAGTTTATGGCAATCACCCCCTCGCGCAACAAGGAAGTCGGGATTTTATAGGTGGGCGATGGAACTCCGGTTATGACCACATCCGAAATTGGGATGACATCTTCGAGTTGGAGGTCTGTTTCGCGAACCTAATCAATTCGAAACGGATTACGAAATTTCGGGAACGATTGAGAAAAAGAAAGGGATCAACATATTTCAGAAGCATCGGGAGAGAGGGACTGGTTAGATTCATGATTTTAATTTACCTCATGTTTCTTGAGTTTCAATCCCGAACCGCGATAAAACTCTTGGACTCCGTTGATGTCTACTGAGTACACTTTTCCACCGTCGTTCGCCAACAAAGCGGCAAGTGGACGACCCACAATTTCGCTACGATTCACCACCGTGATCACGCGACCGTGTAATCGATTTCCATACAGAAGAATGGGGTTATAGACTCCAATATATTCCATTACCTACGAAAATACTCAACATTTAGACTTTATTAAGATGACTCGGTGGTTCAGCAAAGTTGGAGAATTCTTCTTGCCTTGATTATGGCCAGGGGAGTGCACGGGATGATGCATTTTTTGGTTTGTTCTTTGTCTAAGAAGCGGATGTTATGATACATGTTATATATGTACTTGTGACACAGTCCCTCAACGTCCTTGGCGGTGTCGACCACATTCTGAAGATACTGATCCTACAATATCGAAATCGTTTTTTTTTTTTTCCTTGATCGTCACGATTTTTCAAATTCAAATTGAACTTCCAAAAGCACCTCCCCCCCCCCACCTCCTCGATGCGTTTACCTGACGATCGCCATACACCGGATAATAAATCATAATCCCGTGTACTCGTTCGTCTTCATTTGCCTCCACGATCTGATTCTCCAGGTCCTTTCGCTCACACTTTCTCATTTCAAAATCAACTCCGGTTTCGGCACACGTCTTCGCCGTGGACTCTGCATACTTTACCGCAGCGGGATCTTGATTAGCGAGAAAGCCCACAAGCTTCGGACGAATTCCCCTTGCCACTATCGTGTTTCTTATTTCATCTCTATCAAAAGATTATTTCGTCATTGTGGTGAATAACGAGGATTGCACGACATGTACCCGCTGTATTACGGGATGCGATGATCGTCCCGGTGAACTTTCTTGAGTGCGAATAAATTGATTTTTACCTATAACTTGCCGAAATCTCCTTGGCCAATATCGTTTTACAAGACATTACTTGATCTTAATCAACTCGTGCGATGTTACGATGATCCTTGATGCCAATAAAAAAAATGAGATGAAAATGATTCTCTGATTTTCAATTCCCATGCATAAAATCACTCACGAATTCTTTTCGTCGTTACCTGCGTAGGAATTCGTTAGAGAGACATCATTCACCTGGGGGGATACCTTTTTAATCAAAATCTGATTGTTGGTCACACAAAACCACGATAAACTATGTAGTGATCCGATCGTGTAATTAGATTTCTTTTTTTTTTTTTTTTTTGAAGTCGGACTGCATGAAAAGCCTAACATTACTTTCGGAAACAATTGTGCCTCGGTGTATCCCATTTGGTGAAGGGTCAAAAAGATCGTTTCATACAATAGATCCGGAGAATGCCGATCTTTATTTCCTTCGCTTTTCGGATTCGTCGCTTTCCAGCGTCGAGTTGGTGAAATGCTCCGAATTAGAGGTAGAGCAAACGAAGTCTTTCTTTACTCTATCGAATGCTCTAATTAAATCGTTTCACTTGGCTCTGCACTGAAAGTTCTGTTCTACATTACTCACTGGAAAGTAGACTCCTCGTCCCGACACGTCAGTTATCGCTTCCTTCCCAAATGATTGCAACTTACAAGAATTGAATAAGATTGTCCGAGGGCTGAGATTTTTGATGGATCTTCGGTCGATATGCATCGCTTTTACCAACGGTGATATTTTCATGGTTTCTTTAGATGGATCGAACGATGTGAATGAATCGGTAAATATCGATAACATCATTATCGCATGTGCATCTGCATGAAATCTTCCTAGCAATGATCTCTTCGCGTTGTTTCTTTTTTTTGAAAAAAGACAGAAATGGTGGGTTCTATCGAGTCCCTTATAAAGTGTATGGAGTGGAGTCCGGATGAAGAAGTCGTGGTTTTCGTGACCGGTGAATGATTTTAAGAGAAAAAAAAAAAAATCTTTTGCAATATGATTCTCTCCATTCCGTTGGGTTATTTGTTAACCGGATGATGATAATAATTAGGAAACGACACGATCCTTGAAATGACCAAGGATTTTGATGTAATCGCAGAATTCCCGATTAACGTCGAGGAATTGGGAGAAGGTAGTGTGCATCTTGATCGTCTCACTCATCGTGATCTCGCTTAGATTGAACTGATGACCAGAGATCATTATCTTGTTAGCTGTAAGTATTAGTGTCGGGTGGGGCAAGAAGGAAACCCAATTTCACGGTTCCGAGGGTAAGCTTGCTGCACAAAGAATAGTTGACGTGTCAAACTTTATCCTTTCCGAAGATGATGATGCCGGGGCAAGGATCTCTTGGTGTGGCGATGGAAATATGTTCTGTTGTTCGGCAATTGACACCAATAGAGGTATCCAAATTGCTTCTATCTTCTACCTTGTTTTTGTCATTGAAGATTTCAAACGCGAGAGCTGAAGAATTATTCATGTTCCAATTTAGGACTTAGAATAATCCGAGTATATAATAGGGAGGGAGTGCTGCAATCAACCAGTGAGCCTGTGGACAGACTAGGACATGTCTTAGCCTGGAGGTATGTCTTTAATCACCACCTCGTGGTAATATTTATTATATGACCGCGTCATTCCAATCATTAATATTATGCATCAGGCCAGCCGGAAACCTAATTGCTTCAAACCAAAAACTTCCTGATAAGCATGAAATAATTTTCTTTGAGAAGAATGGCTTGAGACATGGTGAATTTGCTCTAAGAGAATCCACTAGTCATAAGGTAATTCAAAAGTTTATAAGTTTTATGATATTGGTCCATTGCATGATGTAGTAATGCGATGACTCGTCATATATATCTAGGTCATTGAAATATTATGGAATTGCGATTCTACGGTACTCGCGATATGGTTGGAGAGGGGTGCACCGCAAACCGAGAAGTCATCATGCGGTTGGTCTTCAGTTTCAATTCTTGTAGTCGTCCGTTTCTAGAAACTGAATCTAAAAACAAACAATTTATTTCAGTTCAATTGTGGAACATGAACAATTACTACTGGTATTTGAAACAAGAAATCCCGATGAAAGCTGGCGATTCTATTACGAGCGTTTCATGGGATCCTGAAGTCGCTTTAAGATTATCTATTACCACTCAGAGTAAGGAGTTGACTTATTTGTGTCGGCATGGCCTTTCTTTCCTTTCTTTATGATTCAATTTGATATCTGCATAATTTTATTACAGGAAAATGTCACAGGTTTGACTTTGCATGGGACAACTTATGTTGTAATCTAATTAATGAAAAGAATGCTGCTGCTGTGGCTGTCATTGATGGATGTATCCTTTCTCTACTATTTCAATATCTTCGTATGATATTTACATACATGATTCGTGTTATTCTATTGTCGCTTCATGTTTGGTAGAATATATATCTCTAGTTTATGTTTTGTTAGCATCCCCTTACATTTATCAATCCCTCCTTTCACTATAGCCTCAGTTCAACTTACGCCATTTAGAACCATGAACGTTCCACCACCGATGTTTGCGTTCTCGGTACAACTAAATTCACCGGCAATGCACGTATCGTTTTCTCCTAACAATGGTGGCAATGATTTTGCCGTACTCCAAGCCAATCAGGAAATCACTTTCTTTGATTGGCGTGGAGCGATGGAGAAACCCGCGAAACCTCCGACTCTGATTGGATCTATTAATTCGAAGTAAATATTGTTAGTATATAATCCTTCTAAAATTTTTTTTTCAAGATTCTTTCTTACTACAATTTCTAATTGGGATCGTCTTCGGTGTAAAAAGACTCTTTGATCTCAAAAACGAGGGATTCATGAGGCAAATCGCTTGGATAGATAAAGGAATTCTGTTTTTTTTACAATCCGATCCTACCAACGGATCTGATGTTGTCTGTCAGATAGAGGTGGATCTTGAAAAAAATCTGGATCAGAGAATTATTTACCAAAAGTGCTTGAATAATGCATTTGCGGTGAAAAGATTACATTGGGATCACACACACAAGATGATGCACCTGATGTCAAACGACGGGATGGTGTGGGATGGTATGTTGTTCCTTTACGAATGTATTTTTTTTTTTTTTCCTATATATATATTTTGCTCATGTTTCCACCTACTTTTGTAGTGAGAATAAGGCTAGGTCAACCTGGTAATTGCGATTTTGATGTTTCGGAGACCCCATTTGTGAAATTTCCGGAATCTTGCACTTGGATTGGATCAACTAAAATTGGAGCAGATGAACGTACCGAAGTACTTGATTTTTTCTTCTGACACTTTTTCCATGGGAATACTGTCAGAATTTTACCGCTTGACTCATTTAAATTTTTTAAATAGAAAGTAGTATTGGGGATGAGTGTAAACAACAAATTATACGCAAATGAAAGCCTGATTTCTTCCGATTGCACCTCATTTTTTGTTCACAACGATTTTCTTATATTTACCACGTTGGGACATGTGGCAAAGTTTTTGCCACTTCACGTGAGCCTCTCTGGTATTTAAATGGAATTTCGTTCCAAAAGCACCTCACTCAACCTGTCTTTATTTATTAACTATCAATGGCTACTTTTACAATTTTCTGATTAGATCTCAAGGATCCGGCAAATATTCCTTGTGATGAAACAGTACGCGAGATCGAGAGAGGTTCAAAGATTGTGTGCGCGATATATTACGATGCGTCATTAATCTTGCAGGTGTTGATCAAGTGTGTCTTATGACTTTCCTAGTTAAGAGTCTAATTTAATTTATTTTTAAGATGCCCAGAGGAAATCTCGAAACGATAAGTCCCCGGACGCTAACTCTCGCATCGGTGCGAGAGGCTATCAATCGGTATGGTGTTTGCGCCTCATCTTTTCCATAAATGTTACCTTCTTCATGCTGATCGAAAATTAACGTGAGTTTTCCTTCACCTCACGTTAGATTGGACTATAAATCTGCATACGCCACCTGTCGAAGACACCGTATCGATTTAAATATATTATGTGACCATGCCCCGAAATTATTTTTATCCAATATCCGGTCGTTTGTCTTTCAAGTGGAGAAAGTCGAATATTTAAATTTGTTTTTGTCGGCTCTGAGGTATCTTGAAAAAAAAAAAAAGAATATTTTTTGAGCGGAATATACCATCAGTAACCTAAATTCGTTCGCTGCTGCAGAAATGAGGACGTGACAAAGACGATGTATCCCCCTGTTGATAAAATCAGGAATTCCAGGGACGATAATAGGTTATTTCAAATTCAACTACAATGTTTTCTCGATCGTAGTTTGATTGATAAGGAAACTAATGTTTTTAAAATAAAAGTTCATGGGACGCATCTGCAAAAGTTAATACGATATGTGATGCTATTCGAGAAGTGCTTGAGACGTTGGACACAAGAACATATCTCCAATCGATAATAACGACATACGTTCGTCGAACACCTCCAGATTTGGAGTCCGCGTTGGAATTACTTGTGAAACTTAAAGGTCTGTTATGCTTCGCATTCATCGATTTTCTAGGAGTAGTTTAAGAAGTTAAATGTTGATTGTTCGTTTAGACCGGGATCCAAATTTAGCGGAAGATGCAATCAAGTTTGCGATATTCTTGATCGATGCGGATAGACTATTTGATGTTGCCTTGGGGATGTATGATTTCAGCCTTGTGTTAATGGTTGCTCAACAATCTCAAAAGGTAATTCATACAATGGCATTTAAGATATCTTATTTCTGCATCTAATCGCGGGTATTTTTTTCTAGGATCCAAGGGAATACCTTGCCTTCTTGGCCAACCTCGAGAGTTACCCGTTGAATTATCAGCGATTTAAAATCGACGATCACCTGAACCGATATGAGAAAGCATTGCGGAACTTAAGTTTATCCGGTAAATGATCGTTCTCTTTGAATAGAGGATGCCTTTCTATTAGCCTGAGAGAGTACTTTTCCCAACACTTATTAGGTGAGGAACATTTCGAGGATTGCTTGAAATATATTGTTGATCACGCATTGTATAAGTCAGCAATATCAATATTCGCAAACGATCGGGAAAAGTACAAGGTTAGTTTTCAAAGAGATATATTAACACTGTGTAGGCATGCTGGATTTAATTGTTCTTTCGTTCGTTTTGATTTTGAAGAAAGTAATCTCAATATATGGAGATTACCTTTTTACCGAATCAAATTTTAAGGAGGCTGGCTTAGGTTTGGGTGCTTTTCCATTTTTGAGTCTCTGTAAAAACATGAATGTTCCCTCAAAAAATTTTTACAACTAGCTTACACATTGGCTGAGGACAGGCCGAAAGCACTCGAGTCATACAAAGAAGGTGGATTATGGCGTGATGCCTTTGCAATTGCTCAGGAGTTGAACTATTCGTCAGATGATTTGTTCGAGTTGGCCAAGGATCTTGCCGGTTTGTCCAACTTCACTGTAGATTATATGTAATGTGTGCTAAAACTAACTTGCATCTTTTCTTTTTTTTAAAAAAAAAAAATCGAAGAATTACTAGCAGACAAGAGGAAATATCAAGAAGCTGCTCAAATACTCTTGGATTATACAAAGGTGATTTTTGCTTGATTAATTTGACACCAATATCATCTGTTTGTTGTTCTAAAAAAAAAAAAAAAAATCAATCGTTCTTAGCAACCAGAAGAAGCAATAGAATTGTTAAATAAAGGTCATTGTTGGAAAGAGGCTATTCGTATTGTATGCGAACTGTTACTCTTCAAATTCTGTTTTGCTCAACATTATTGTTATTAATGAATGTGATTCTCACTTATTATAAAGTCTCGTGTGTATAATAGGGCGGATTTGATTCAGACCAATGTTAAGCCAAGTGTCATTGAGGGTATGAAATTCGGGCAATATTGGTTAATGATACTTTGCAATTCGAAATTTCACATTTTGCATTTGTGATTTAGGATATTCTCAATTACTTCAGGAAGTGAACTCAATGTCGGATCAACTGAATCAACAAACATTGCGACTGAAGGAGATCAGAGTCAATAAATCCAAGCGATCTCATGGTAAGATAGTTCCACTCTGTTTTATATTATTATTATTATTTATTTTTTTTTTTTTTGCGACTACTATTTACTGCGGCCGCGTTTTTTAGATTCCGAATTATTTAATGATGAATCGTTAGAGAATGTTGATGTGTTTTCCGATACAAGTTCTATGGCAAGCGGATTTACGCGCTATACACAATCGAATACTCAATTGAGCATACATTCAAGTAGAAGCAGGTTTGTATAAAATTCGATGGATGGAGAATCTTTTATTTGGTTTATTAAAATTACCATCTTTAACAGAAAAAGTGCGAAAAGTCGTCGACGAGAAGAAAGGAAAAAGGCACGTGGTAAGAAAGGAAGTATATACGAAGAAGAATATCTCATGGATTCCCTGAAAAGGTTGATTGAGAGGTTCAATACAACTCAAGGTAAGGTTTGTATTACATCAATTATTATTAATTTCTCTTTAATTCATCGATATGTCGATTTCAATAGCGGAAATTGAAAATTTGTTAAGCTGCCTCGTGAGTTTGGGAGTAGTGAAAAACGCGCAACAAATTCAATCAATATTTTATAATTTGGAGGGACTAATAAGAAAGAATATTGACGAGATATTCGATGTTTCATTGATCACCGCCGTGACAACTATAGAGGTATTTTCTTAAATATATAGTATGTAAAATCGTGATTATATGCGCTCATTTCGCGTTTATTCAGGATGATACGGAATCATACGTGACCAAACCGCCTGCCACTAAAGTGATTGAAAAGCCAAAAATAATCGAAACAAATTGGAAATTGCAAATTATATGATGTCTGTGAAAGATCATATCAAAATTTTCAGGTGAATTTCGCTGCAGCAAGTTGCTTGGCTTAAATACATTTGATTTTGTTGTTGTATACAGATTTGAGTAATGGTCTGTTTATGTATGCAAAATGTATAAAATATTTTATATGATAATATAAAAAATCATATAACCTTGAAACCCATCTAGATGATGTAGTATATACAGTATTTAGCAATTGACTTTTAGCCATGGGAAAATATAACACAATGAAAGCTTTGCTTCCTGAAAACGAATCACACAATAGATTGCGGTGTTCAATAGTTTATTAATCATAAAAGTTTACAGCTTACACAAGTACTTCTCTACAATCAAGTGTAGTTCATCTGAAGAATTGAACTGCTTGAATTGACTTTAAAATCCAATTTAACAATTTGATTTTTTGTAAGAGGAATAATTGAAAATATAAAATTGGTAGAGCCGACGAAAAATGATTTATTCCTTCAGTTTTTCCTCAAATTAAATATTAAAAGATTTTGGAAATATGCCTCACCATTGTTTAGATTACAAAGGTAAAATTCCAACACACGCTCTTCCTTCTCGGTCATAATAATTGACACAGCAATTCTCAAAAATACTTGTAGCCCAAATTAACCTGTTCACATTGAACACGTCTTTGGTAAACATTTTTGAGCATTTTGAACTTGACAATATTGATGAATTCAAGTCATTGTAAAGTTCAACTATTTCCTCAATCTTTTCTTGAGATCTAATTTTAAGAGATCAACAACGATCAAAACATTATCGTTAATGGGGAGAACAAATAATAATTTACAGTATATACGCACATAGAAGTGTCCTCGTATTCTCGGATGGTTTCAATAAAAAGTTTCCACCTGGACTTCTGACTTCTTTCAACTCTTTTACTTTCGCATATCAGGTATAGCATTAAAACGACATCCTCTTCCTCCATCAATGATTCTCCGTCGAATACTTCTCTCATTGCTTCCGAGAATTCGTCGTCTAACATAACGATTTTGAATGTAATCATGATCGAATCCAACAATTCCATCTTTGTTGCGTCCAAGTTGGAATCTCTATTTATATGAGCATTCAAAGGTTCACGCACAACAACGTTTGCAACATTATCACCCAAAATAAAAACCAAATTAATCCTGCCATCCCGAAAATCTCGAGACGCATTTTCCAAAACCCAGATTTCCCTAGAAGCTATTGTCCTCAGCGCCGTTTCCAAAATTTCCCTCTGACCTGTGGCATCAATCGCGTTGTTCAGTCAACTTTTAGAATAAATAAATCAACTCTCAACCACCACCTCGCGTGATGCATACCATCAATATAAATCTTGGCGTTCCCCAACTTGCTTAACCCTTCCGTGGATAGACCTTCCCCCTCATCATTCCAAAATTCATCATCTCGATCTTTAATCAACTCGAACTTTTTTCGCAAAAACAAAGAAAACAGTTCCAACATTGCAATCTCGCATCTATATCCAAAAATCTTCTCTTTGATCGATGCCTTCTCCGACATCTGCTGAAAAATTTTAATCTCGTTGGCGTTCATCGCAAGGACCCCCAACTGTGCAAACAGATCCGGTGGAATAATGTTTTTCTTTATGAAATGCGTAAGCTCCGAGATGCCAAGTTGTGAGAGAACTGCGAGTTTCTGATCCCTGAGTGGGTCCTGAGTAAAATTTACTTTGATCGCAACCCAATCGTCAGGATTGTCGGGAATGCAAAAACCATATCCTATCAATACTACGAGTCACGAGCAATACGTGATTAGCGACTAGTTCAAAGTCTCAAACTGAAGATTACCGCAGAATATTAAAAATCAAAGGGAAAAGGATCAATAAATACACACATTCTTCATTAGACTAACGCGAAGGAAATTCACACAAGGTTAACCGAAATATGCAAAATATGATATCTTCCAACCAACCAACGTTCAACGAATCCTCTCATACCTTAGTACCATAATTATTGAATACCTGTTCCCCCGCTTCGATTCCATCTTCTGTAATTAGGTGCAATGCACTTCTACCCTGTACTTTCCACGTGATCCTCTGCCTTGGTCGATGATTAAGCGAATCGGCTAACGGAAACAACGCCTCGTTTAATTCTACCTCATCAGGCTCAATCAATTTGTTGGGAAAACACCGCGACGAAATCACATTGCACGCCCACAAATATAATTCCCTGAAAACGAGAAAAACGTCGTCTTGCCGCTCATATTCATCAAATATATAACCAATTTTCGAATCGGGATCACCCACCATGTTAATTCATGCCTGAACTCCTCATCTTCCACAACGCCAAGAACTTGTTCGTATTCTCTTTCTAACATCTCTTTCCTGTCCTTTGTTCCACCATCCAAATTGGTACCTTTTAACCATTCCATTTCTCGATCACTATATGACAATGATGTCGGAATGTGTTTCGGGAGAACATCAATATACGGATGATAGAACGACTCGGAACCCTTTAAGCGCTCGTGGACCAAGAAGGTCGCTAGCGCGGCGCGACAGCTTAGGATCGATAAGTAGGATAGACGGCTTTTCGCGATTTTGTGGGTTATGGTGAGATGAAAGGGGATAATAGCAAAGGTTTCATTTGGAAAGATTCTCGATATTGCATATGTGGAACCTGTTGTTTGGGATAGGCGCATTTTCCGCAAAATTGATAAAGAGTCATATCATGAACTTTACAGTTTAAGAAAGAACACTTCACTTTACCGTCATCAAATTTTAATTTCGAAAACACGGCTCCATTATCATTTAACCATTGAACGTATTCCCTTGAGCTATCAAGATCCATAGAATTTAGATGGTAACAGATCTTTAAAATTTTCAAGTTACACACCTACAGAATAATAACATACTTATCGATTTTTTAATTAACCATAATGATAAGTGTGTCATCCATAATTTATCACCAGATTTCTGTTCCTTTTGAAACATTGAAAACGATGAGGATTCAACTCTAATCCACGTTTCTATCATTCACTTAAACATGAAAAAGGGCACGTTGAAAGATGATTTACACACATTTCATTCAAATTCATGTAAAACTCGCTCATTTTATTTTTGCTTCGCAATCAACATAGTAGAGAAAAAAAAAAATATTACAAAGAAAAAAAGCCCAGAATGAGAAGTTAAAATAATTATTTCGTTAGAAATGGTTTATCCGGTAACACGTTCTTGAAATTGGCGCAAGTTTTGAACAAGATTGCGGGAAGCACACGCACAAGCTTGACAATGATCATTCTTATGCTAGAAAACCACGAGAAAACCTTGAAATTAACTATCGTACAATTTTAACATTGGTTCCATTAATCGAATGCATTACCTTGCCGCTAAATCGCCACCCGAATGATTGGTGAATTAGAGCAGAAACTAACAACGGATAAAGCCACAACAACAACAATAATAATGAAATGCATACCAAGTTTCAGCGCATTTCTCGGATGAAGCAAGAGTGAGATCAATAAGCGAATTCAATTGAGGTGCGTGCAATGACATCATTTTTGCGGTACACGAAGCCAATTCTTTGGTGGATGGGAAAGTGAATTCGGGTTTGATTCTTCAATTAAAAATAAACTTGACTGCATATATAATTTACCGGCATTAATCCGACATTGTTTGGCACACCCTTCACCATTCGCGTTTTCAGCGCAGTTCTTTAAATAAAAAATAATAAATTTTTATTTTGACCGATTCCTAAATAAATGAAACAAATTCCAGACTAATTCTTACGATGCACGCAGCGGAACTTTCGAAACTTCAAATCAATATCTCGTTAATAATGAATTTCAACACACGAAAGAAAAAACCATTGTAAGCATCACAATTACCAAGTTTTAATATTTTCAAGGTTTTCCTTGGTGCTGGCCATTTTCCTAAAGTCCTTTTTGTTTATGAAGAGACTAAATTTCCAATAAAAAAGTTGGCGTCTTGAAAGGCCTTTTTATCGTGTGCAAGGAAATCGTAAGAATTATGTAATTGTCGCCCAAACGTCGTTAGTGATTTACTCGCGTCATAAAAAGTCCTCACGCAAATGACTTCATAATAGCGTATTGACATCTAATCATGGAAAGCAATAACACATCATTCGATCTTTACTATGGACTTCCATTTATTTCCAATTTAAGTTATTAGAACGAATTTTTGTAATGTGCGTGTGTATTTTTTTTTTGCCATCAGGGGAAAAACTTTAAAGACATAATTACATCACAGGATTTTAACAATGAATATACAGTATATTGATCTTTTATCGTAAAGGAATAATCGTTTAAGATCAAAAAAATCATAGCAAGTTTGTTTTCTATTTTTAATATACTATATCGTCTCTATCGAAAAAAAAAAAAATCAGAACTTATCAATTTTAGAAAAGTTTGAGAAAAGTTACATAACTAGATTGGTTTTCATTTTATTACATTCTTTATTCTCATAATGTCTGATATAGGAAAATCATAAACAAAGATCAAAACAACAATAGAAAATTTTTAATACAATACATTTAAATCTTGTCTTTAATTTATATATTTAATTAATTTTTATTTATTTATTTATTTTAGTTTTAGCTATTTGAAATTTTATTGAAGATAAGTACTTTATTCTTAAAGATTTTTCTATATATTGTTGTAAAATTATTACATATTTTTTACTTATACAGTGTTTCCCAATAAATAAAGGATTACTTAAGAATTATTAAAAATAATCAGAAATAGTTTTTATATATCAATTATTTTATTTTATTAATAAAAACTTATTTTATGAATTAAGTAAACATGTTTCTTATAATGAATTCTATCTCTAGTAAAATTCTTATGAAATATGGAGTCACTTTTATTATTGTATTTAATACATTATTTCCAAACAAAAATTTTTTTATATTTTTGTTAAAATTTTGATATCCACTTTATTTTTATAACTATTGTTTTAATAAACAATTTACTATTAATAAATTTTGTTCAGCATATGTTAAACTATTTAAATATAAAGTTTCATAAAATTCTATTCAATATTTAAATTTTCATTTAATAAAATGTACAACATTTAAAAAATAACAGAATATTTAAAAATTATTATACTTAATTAAAAATAGTTTTTATATATATAATTTTTTATTTTATTAATAATAATAATTTTTATAACTCTTTCCGTTGATCCTCTGCCCACACACAAAAAAGATGTTCGCAAGAAATTTTTTATTTCTTTACTAATAAAGTCTCAATACTATCCTTAAATCAACTTAAAGTTTTACTTTAAGAGATACTCCTAAACTCTTCTTCTTGTTTATATTCGTTTTCAAACAAAAACTTGACTTCCTGTGACCTAGAAAAGTCAAGAACCACCTTCTCTACCTACGGCAAGAAAGTTCTGAAAAGAAGAAGAACTAATAGTGTAGTACTTGAAGCCTTTCATATTGAAGCATGTCTATAGAGGTTTTCTGCAGTGGGAGGT